ATTTACAGACTGGATTACCCTTGGGCCCATAGTGTGAGTCTGGATTGCCTTCTAGGCCCACAACTCACATCTGGATTGCCATCAAGCCTACAGTACGAGTCTCCCTCAACCCATAACTGGAATGCTTCTGGGTTTGTTGGATTACCGCACGGAGCAGTATCACCTCAACCCGTCTATATAATATGTCGACATATACACAACTAATGCACATACATATAATAACATGATATTACAGGTAGTCCTACAGATCTACCTAACTGGCACAACAACTAATACGCAACACTAACTCATACTTAACGTACTACCAAGATACTTATCTAACATATCGTATCAACATATAACAACCTATGTACCAGGATACCGATCTAACAAATCATAATTGCATATACCATCCTATCTACCAGGATACCAATCTAACAGATCATAACATCATATATCATCCTATCTACCAGGATATCGATCTAACAGATCATAACAACATATATCATCCTATCTACCAGGATACCGATTTGACATATCATAACAGCATAAACATAACCTCATCCTAACTACTAGGATGCAAACCGATAAACATATCATGCCATAAGTGGATACAGTCCATAAAGGGCCGACCTTGGTGCCTTAGACCCTATTGATATAATGAGGATAACTCAACTCACGATGTTGGATCCGAACTAAAGAGTCGAACTCCCGAATCACCACCTCACCGAGGATCACGAATTATCTTTTATCTTTTGGACTAGAAAGACTTTTGTCTTTTAGCCAAATGCCAACGTTTATAATTTATAAAAGAAGTTTACAAAATTTATTAACTTTTGTCTTCTTTTATATCTTTATAATAATGAATAAAAGAAGCATGGACTTTTGATTATTTAAATAAAAAAAAGCATGGATTAAAGTTATGGGGAACATTAGGGACATGGTAGGTCTTAAAGTGCTAAGACCTTATGGGTATTACTTTTTCTTTAAGACCATAACATGAAGGCTTTCATTTTTGGTGCTTTTTAGTGTAAAAAACTGTGACCTCTCTCCCCCTCTTACTTCTCTCTAGTTTTGGTTAAAAACTTGAAGAATACTTGCTTATCTTTTTCTCTCTTGAAGTTCATATTAGTTATGAACTTCAAGCTTAAGAGTTAAGAGTTTATGGACTAGCATCTACATCAAGTTGAGTCATTGTTGGTGTCTCAAAGGTTCCACATTCTTCATCAACTTCCAAGCCTCCCAATAGGACCCAAAGAACAACAAATGTTGTTATTTCTTCATCCTTTCTATGGTTGGTATTTGATCTGTCTATAACTTGCAAGAATATCCTTGGTGGGTATAAAATGTTTATTTTATGTTCTAAAATATAGTCTTCTGTTTGCCAATCTTTGTAGTTTTTGAAACTACTTTTTGAACAAAAACCTAAGACGAGAATCCCTACGCTTCGAACAACACTCCCAAGCCTTAGAACCTCGCGAACAAAACCCGAAATCCATAAGAGACCTGAAATATCAAATTACGATTGTACCCTTGACCTCCAAAGACACAATCGAACAATTGGATCACTTTGACCATAACACCCACACCCGAGAAGGGCCAAATTCTTCCTTTCCCAAGGCGCTAGGCCTCATGACCACTGAAGGTTGGGTCGCAACCCTGAATAAAGAAGCAAATCCAAAACCGATTGTTACAAACTTGCCCGATTGTAAAAGGTCAAGGCGATCCGGATCAACCAAATATTACTCCTGAAGGGGCAATCTTTATTTACAACAATGATGACATTCGTGAAAACATTTACAAGTTCGTGATTCAAGAGGGCTTGCCTTTCAACCACTTCGACAACCCACAATTAACAAGGATTTTGCAGGAAAAAATGCAACCACAATACTGGAAAGTAAGTCACACTTCTCTTAGAAGTGGTGCTATAAAGTATTAGGGTATAGCCAAAAAGGATATGCAATTGATATTTTTAAATATAAAACCTGTGTTTCTTTAACTTGTGATGTTTGGTCCTCCATCAGAGACACATTGGATAGACCCCTCTACTTGGGTAACGAACAAACGAGTTATTGCTTTTGAACTTTTTGCGCATCCTCACACGGGGACAACGATTATTTTTAATTTTAGTAAGCGTTATATAGACTTGTAATTTAGGCGACAACATCTTCTCTATTATGTTTGACAATGCAAGTAACAATAACACCGCCGCAAAAAAATTAATTACAAAATATAGACCTATTTTGGATGGTTTGTTTTTTCATACTCGATGTGTTTGTCACATTATTAATCTAACGATACAAGATGGTTAAAAAATGATTGATTCGGCGATTGAAAAATTCAAAATGTTTTAAAGAATCGTTTTGCAATTATTAATATCCCCTTTCTCTTTCTTTCTCTCTCTCTCTCTCTCTCTCTCCTTAAATTACCTTGTCTAGTTGCTTTTGGTGAAAGCAACCCAAAAGGACTATGCACAACTGGGTCAAGTACATACCAAATATAGTTACGGGCTTAGACACTAATCCAACAATTTTTAATATAATTATACTATCGATTGAACCAATGAACTTTTTCCTTTAATTCCATTCGCTTAGTAACAACATCTTCTTTAAGGAGGTGTTATCCTTCTCCCATCTTATGGTTGAACAAACCTGTTATGTGGGTCCATTCATCACCTACAAGGAAATGAGGCAGAGCTATTGGTGTCACACCCTCGTTAACGTTCATCCAACATCGTGTTAGGACCATCACATTTGTTGTCGTCCATGGAGGTGGAGCATCGGTTAATGTCACTGCATATGAAGAAGTTGGTACATTAGTAGCCATTTCAGAATAAAGGTGTGAGTTTATTGAAGAATGAATGATGATTGAAATAAGATAAATGACTCTGCAGATTGACAAACAGCTATGCAGACTGACAACAAGCTCTACAGACTTGCAAATAGCTCTGTGGGCTGACAAACAACTCTACAGAATGACAAACAACTCTGCGAGCTGACGACAAGCTCTGCAGACTTGAAAATAGCTCTACGGTCTGATGCTCTACGGAATGACAAACAACTCTACGGATCAGTGGATACATATTTCATTTAAATTGGACAAGCCTTTTAATTTTGAGAACTTGGGGAAAGTTGTGAAAATGAGTTCCTGCAATGAGGTGTTAAAAAAAGTTTTTCCAACCTACCGATTTTTTTTCATAATCTGCAAATAATCAATCCTAAGACCTTCACATGCATTAAGAAAGATATGTACGATCATTTCCAATTTTTTTTTTGTGGCATTGGGATGCATGGTATGTAATCCTTTATACTAAGTTTTTGGTTATTTGAAGTTGTTAACTGCTACTATTCTTATCTTTTCTTGTAGATTTGTACATTTCTCACGTCTATGATACCAATCATATTCGTTTGTCACGTACCTCTAATTGGGACCTACATAACATCCATGTACATTGCGGTTGCTTTAGATGGAAATCATGAACCCCTACTTATAGCAGTTGTTTTGGGAACCATAAACTGTGACGAGTTATGGGTTTGGTTCATGAGGAGGGTGAAAGAATGTTTAGGTGATAGTATGGAAGTTGGTTTCATAAGCCATATGTCCGACTCTATAGACTTCGCTGTACAGAGAGTCTATCCTGATTCATATCATGGTTATTGTGGTAAAAATATAGTTGAGAAAATAAGGGCTTCCACCGGAAACAATACAGTTGTGGAGCAGTTGCTTTGGAAGACATGAAGAAACGTATAATGTATCTGATTTTTATGGGAGTTTGAACACCTTACAAAATGAGGTGAATGAGAATGATCTTCACTGGCTTGACAATATTTCCATTGCAAAATGGGTATGGACATATTTCCCTAAAGAACGATTCAATGTGAAATTTATTGACATTCCCAATGTCGTCAATTGGATAATGACAAACAGGCATGAGTTACCAATAACAACAATCATTTAAATGGTACATGACTTCATGCAAGGAGTGTATTGTCAACGTGCTGCATTCGGAGGTAATAATGATATGTTTTAATATAAATTATTACATCATAATTTTTATTTGATGATTCAGTTAATTTATAGGGGGATTTCATGATCTTCTGGCCCCTTATGCACTTAAGGTGCTTCAAAAAAGATTTATCAACTCCGATGGTTGTAGGGTTAGACATATTGTTGGAGACAGATATGAAGCGAGTAAGTATTTTACCACCGAATCCGTGCAATTAGATCGTGACATTTGTACTTGCGGGAAATGGCAAAAGTGCGGTATACCTTATCATCACGCTATAGAATCACTACAAATGCTTGACATTGAAGAAATCCAACTTATGGTAAATTATAAGTTAACTACTATGGTGTATCGAAATGCTTATCAAACTGAGATGATGAATCCTATTCCAAACCTTATGTATTGGGAAATACCAGTTGAAAGTGTCGTCGTCTTACCTCCACGACAATTTACTTGAAATGTAATGCATGGATGAAACTAATATTAGTTTATATTTACTTTTATGTTAACCTTAGTTTTGGTCTATTGACGTTGCCATATTTTAATAAATAATGTGTACCTTTTAATTATTAATATTTACCTTTAATAAAAAATTGTAATATATGGATCACAATTATTGGTTAAAGACAGCTCTATGGACTGACAAAAAGCTCTACGCACTGACAAACAACACTACGGACTGACAAAAAGCTCTAAAAAGTTGAAGAATGTATAAATACTCATACATGATCGTTGAATTTTTCGTAAAGAGTTGCATTTTTTATTTATAATATGAGTTCATATTAAAATTTCTATATTTACATTCGCAG